GCACTGGTGGTGTAAGTAAACAATCTGTCCAGTGTGTGAGATTTAAGGGCACCTGTAGTTGTAGATTGCAGCTCACTTGCTTACCCTTTCCAAGCACGAGGGTGGCCATGAAACAGTGTATTGTCTGTTCTACTGTAGAAACATGCATGGTGGCCTCCACAGAAGGCAACCCATGGTGTCTGTAGATAAAAACGGCTCATTCTAGGTCAACAAAAACATAAAGATTCTTATTTTAAGATGATTACACAATAATGAAAACACACTTATGAATATTATATTACATTTCTGCCAATAGAGCCTCCTTGTTTTGTGTTTTCATTAGATAGATAGATAGATAGATAGATAGATAGATAGATAGATAGATAGATAGATAGATAGATAGATAGATAGATAGATAGATAGATACTTTATTTATCCCGAGGGAAATTCAATTCATTACCATAGAATGAGGATTTTATATCTACAGATGGAGGAAGACAACAAACCAAACACTAGAAAGGGCCTTTTGCATTTTTCGCAAGTTTTGCAGCCACCACAGTTTCTCCTACACACTTTGAACAGGAGGGTGAGGCAAAGGGGTTGTAATCTGCAACTACAAAGCTAGATGCCATTTAATCTCACACACTAGTTCTTTAACTCCCTGGGATTTTCCTGAATGGGCTCAAGCTGGTATGTTGATACAGACAAATGTTGGAATACATTTTATGTCTCGGTATTTATTTTATTTCAAAACTGGCTCAAAGGCAAACAAAAAGTTGCCCTAATGTATTTGCATTTGGTGGTCTGCTGTCTCGTAGGTTTCCTGCTCTGTGGAAATCTGTTGTGTTTACCTAAAACACAACAGTAAGTCCTGGTCCTGGTATTGTTCTTGCTGGTTAACTGTCATGGCTTACTGGGACACTTAAACAGAACTGATCCCTTGTTTGTGTTACTAGTAACATCTGTGCTGTGAAAAAGGCCTATTAGAACAGTATCATCATGCACTCAGATGAATTATTTCCCCTGTGAGTGCAGACGTTTTTCGACCTTGACAAAATAGCTCCTTGAACAAATTGTTTTGTATGTTGCATACATCAGCAGATATCACTAAAGTTCAAACTCATTTCGTGTTTATCTCGACAGCTGCCAAGCATCCTGTTAAACCCCCCCCCCCACACCACCACCACTTCCCCTCACCCCTTCCACCCCCACTTCCAAGCATTTCACGCCCCCCACAAACTCACTCTCATCGCTTATATAAGCTGGTTCCAGATCCAGTCACAGTATCTTTTATCAACTTGTTGGAGAGAAATCTGCCTTCTGACAATCTAAGCTCTTGCTAGAAAACCATACAGCTATGATTTGGATCGGAGGCCTCACAGGATTTTGGATAATTGCACTGCTGACTTTTCATAGTGCAAATGTGGGAGGTAATTGTTTTTTGTTCTTTGAGTGTTTATATTTAATGTACTCTTCAAATTGCAATCCTGTTAACGTCTGTGTTTCTTGATTTCCACAGAGACCCAAAGAAACTCTCTCAATGAGCCTGACGTCCCTTTCCCACCTGCCCGTCCCGCTGCTCAGAACCTCGCTGCCATTTGCCACCAAGGTCAGGGTCGTCCCAGATACCCAGCCAGCTTCTTCCCGGGCTCTGGTGCCAGCCACTTCCGCCGCCGCGGAAAGGCCATCAACCGTTTGGAGTCGTGGTACACGGTGTGCTGCAGTGAACTGGCAGCAGAGCAGAGCACCCAGATACTCTGCTGCGCCCAACAAGCTGTGAGTCTCTGCGTTTGTGTTTGTGTGTGTTTGTGGGAGAAAATCCAAAGACAATAGATGGACAAGATAACTTTATATCGCAATGTATAAGTAATTTCAGATTTAAGGTGAGAAAGCCTGAATGTTCTGGTTTGATACATCAGGTTTTGGATAAAGTAGAACAGTATACTATTATATATTCCATAAATAGTGTGTTATATACCAGACTTAAGGACAACTTCTTCCTTCATGCTGTGAGACTGATAAATTCATCCTCTGCAAAAGATATCATTTTTATTTTTAGGACTTCACTAACTATATAACTATTATATATATATATATATATATATATATATATATATATATATATTATGAGTAGCATAAAGGGAACTATAACCACAATTAAGTAAGATACCTTGTGTCCTTGTATTCCAATTATAATCAAACTAAATATTCCAACCACAAAAACTGCTAGTATAAACACATTTGACCATGTTTTTACCTGCTACACAAATACACACAGAACTGGTAGTTTTAAATTACTTTTTTGTTATCTTTTGGCATTTTGGCAATTTTCCTCATATACACTCTTTTTTGTGATTGTCTTTTTCAGAAAACAAACGCAAAATACTTCCAATAATGACTAATATTTCAGAAGAAATAAACATATACAAACTAAGCATGTTAACAGAACCAGATTGAACAATGTAAATGACAAGATTAATTTAAGTCTTAAATAAAAAAACAGGTTAAATCTATGACATTTTTCATGCGAGTATTCATTCATGAGGAGATAAATCTTTCTTAAGATGGAGAAAAAAAATCTTGTCACCTATTTGCCTCATTTCCTAAAGAATCAGCATCAAAAGATATAATAAGGAGAATATGTGAAATGTGCTTTTGGTAAACAACCAAATACATTTTTCTTACAGTGGAGACAAGCCCTGTCCCAGTTCTGTGTGGAGGAACACTCCACCATGACTCTCCCATATGAGTGCTGTGCGGACGGAGGAGAAGCCCGGTGGATGTGCTTCAACAGCGAGCTGCCAAACCCAGACTACAACCCAACACCAGGCTACACTGCACCCCCGGTCCTCCCGGAGCCAGGATTCATGTTCAGTCCAAATGCTTGTTAAAGATATAAACAGAAAAAACAAACAAAAAAAAAAAAAACAAAGCATGTGCACAGATCCCATTTGGATAAACCTACATCACATAAAATGTACAAGCTGAAGTAGTAATGTTGTGCAGATCTTTATCACAGATGCTCAGAGGAGGACAGGGGCATGCTGGTTGTGTTTCTGCTGCTTAGGGATGATAACAGCTGAACTCAGGTATTCATTTGATAACTCTGTATTTTAACCAAGCTTTGTCACGAGAGCAACACAATTTTTTTTAAGTGCAAATGTTTACTGTTGTAACTCAAATGCGTGGATTTCACACTTTCTGACATGTATTCTTTGTTAGAGAAATAAAGTATAAAATAAAGACATAAAAGTTCTCACATCTTTCTTTCATTAAACACTTAAAGGGCATAACTCTGGAGACACGTCAGGTTAGCAGCTTCAATTAAGCTGCTTTGTATCAAGTTCAAGTTCTTCATCATGTAATAATAATAAAAAAAAAAAAAAGAAAATCCAACATGTAATAAAACAAGGGTCCACCAGGGGTCCCAGTTTGCTGTAATAGTTGGGTGTGTGACTTATAGATCACTTTGAGTGTGTGTGTGTGTGTGTGTGTGTGTGTGTGTGTGTGTGTGTGTGTGTGTGTGTGCTCCCCAACCTGAACAGACATGTGTAGTAAAAGTCACAAATAAATATTTAAATCAAATCTAAACACAGTTTGATTGAGATTATTACATTGTAAGTGTGACTGTAAGTGAATTACGAGAGTCATCTGCTCCAGACCACAACAACCTAAGAATGGTATTTCCTGTTTGGTTTCAAAATAAAAGTTGACCATTCTAAATCTACAAACACAGTCCATATAAATATCATACATAGGAGTAATATTTGTGATCATAATGATAAAGGAAATACCATTAAATGTGGTATTTGTTCTGATGTTTCTTTTCCCATTCACACTTTATGTTTGAAAATAGTACAATTTGAATTAGTTGTACTTTGCCCGAGTGCTTCCACGCATCTTTTTAACTGTATTTTAGAGGAAAATATGAATATGGCACTTTTAACTCCACTGTATTAATTGAACAGGTATAGTTACTAGTTATTTTAAAGTTTAAGATTCTAAATACACAACTTATTTGAATACATAATGCTTTCTTAAAGCTGAAACTACAGAGTTATTATGTTGCTTACATGTTAATGCATTAGTAATAATTAATAAATAAGATAATTCATTGTAACTAATGGGACCCAGTCTCCTGCATAATGGGTAACTTTCGATACTTCAAGTCCATTTTGCTGCTAATACCTTTGCACATTTACAGATTGGATCAGAGTATATTTACATTATGCTGCTTGTGGCTTTTACTTTTACTTTATAAATACTTTCACTGCTATATTGTGGCATAGTCACCTTACTTTAGTTAGAATTATAAGTATCTAAGACTTCATTTTACATCTCGAAAGCAAAGACTGGTCTTCACCCGCTGACAGTTTTTATTCATTATTTGCTAAACAGATCACAATCACTTGAATAGGCTATATTTTAATATTTAACCACACAATAATCAATATATTTGAATCTGTTACACATTAATGTTTTATTTACTACTATTATTTATACTATATTAGACATAATAATTAACCTATATATGTTTTGTGTTTATTTATGGATGATGTACACAACAAAGTTAGCTGGAGAAGAAAGTAAATTAAAAATAACATTTTCTCGTGACATTATTGTGTTTTATTCTGAAAGAAAACCTCACCGGAAGTTCTGCTCATTCTCTGAAAACTGCCGCTTCCGCACTGCTTCCTTGTTTATTACTTTTAGGGAAAACAGTTCCTTTAGAAAGATAAAAAGGTTTTTTTTTCCCCTTCTGTCTCTGGAAACTACAAGAACTCCTCCACAAGATTTCCGAGTGAGTTGACTTGTTTGTGTTGTTTGTGTTGTTGTTTGTTAGTTATTAGGCATCATTCGCTTGGTTGAAGTTAGAAAAGTTAAAATCAGAGTTAGCAGCTAGCTCTTCTCGCCCTCTGCGTTTCGTTAAATGTCGCAATCATCTCCTGCTAACTGGTTACAACACACACTGGTTTTAACATTACAGTTTCCCTAAGTTGCACCATTGAACAGACAATTGCTGCTGTTGTGCAGAAAGTTGCCATTAAGTCTCCTTGTCGGGGTTTATGTTCAGCTCCTCCATCAGCAGAGCCAGTCAACGTGGCTGGTGTCAATATTTGTGGCATGAAGTCATCTGTAAGTTAGTGTTTGCTGTTTAATGAGCTACTTTTTATTTATTTTTTTTATTTTTTTCTACACAGATCCCTCAGAGACTTACACAGAGGGAAGCTGCCATCGTTTGATGTCCAGTAGTGAATCAGGATCTGAGTTTCACTACAACCGAGTCTTGAGTTTCTGGTCTGGATGGCCACAGCTGCAGAGGAGCCTCCAGGGCTGCAGGGCCCCGCAGCCTGTAAGTACTGTATTATTATTATTATTATTATGATAATACACCACCTTCTCCTGAAAGAGATCATATATATATTTGACGTTAAGCATGGGACGATGTGAAAGTGCGATACATGATATTATCACGATAATCAGGAAAATATACTTTATACTTTAAAATGGCCAAGCCTTCAGTCATGGAGAAACACTTCAAAAATAAAAATACATTAGAAAAATCAATATAGGACTGTATGCCAGCGAGCTTGAAAGCTTTTTTCGGTCAATCCGTGTGACGATATTCACGATTGCGATTCACGATCCGCAATGATATCGTTTATTGTCCCATTCCTATCCGACATAAGTTTGTATGAGTTACTTAAAGTGGTACAAATACATGGACATTGGCTGAAGTTATGGATCCAAGTCAGTTTCAGTTGAATGTCACAATAGAAACGATCTATATTGGTAGTTCAATACCCAACCAACTTGATGTCAACACTGAATAGTTTTCTGTTTGTCAGTCCAGTCCCTCTATGAAGGTTGACCTTATGGTCATATAAAATGGAAGTTTATTGAGTTAAACTGAGAGATGTTCTCATATTTAGTCTCTCATTGAAATAAGAAACACTTCTCTGTGTAAGAGACTGCATTAGTTTTAGCAGAAGGAAATGAAGGCCATTTAAGGTAGAAGTTTTAAAGGAGAAGTCAAGTGAGTTATTTATTGTACGTCCGTAAAGGGGAATCACAAGTAACAAATTAAAAAAAGATGAATGGTCAAAATCGATGCAACCAACACCAAAATATCCTGGCTGCTTTTCTCTCTGGTATGGGGCCAAGCTCTAAAACATATATAGATCCTACATTTCCCATAATGCAACAAATATCGTCTTTTTTATGACTGACTTTTAAGCAGCACACACCCAGTTTGTTATTTTAAAATGTTATGTCTTTGTAGGTGAGATTACCCTGATGACAACACTACGACATTGTCAGTGTTGACAATGCTCCTCCAGAGTTATCACAAGCTGTATAACTACTCAAGTGTAACATTCACTGAAGGCACCATTAATGATTTACGTAAAATGAAAGCAAATGTAAAAGCAGTCATTAGTCATGTCACATAGTCCTTAAAAGAAGAAAGTGAACAATTCAGGTGCAATGTGACTTTCACTTACATGACCCTCTGATATAGAAATTAAAACGCTCATTGGCCCTTTATGAACTCACTTTTATAATAATAGCATACTTATTTAATTCCTCCCATTCCACGCAAAGACCTGCTGTGTCCGATCTGGAGGAGACTGTATTCTCTCAGAGGTAATGAACGAGGTGCGTCTGCATGCTTGTGGCAAAGCTCAGCTGCACTCTTTGTTTTCTGCATTAGGGAGTGGTAGAAGCTGTTTTAAGCTGTGTTGTTTTAATTAAGGCATCCAGTTGTGGAACTGCTTTTATTTTAATGTATTACTTCTATTCCTCCTTGTGTATTTCTTGTATAACTTGTATGTTCCCTTCCCTTTCTCACTCCAGATTCGCCTGGGACTCGAAAAAATGCTTCTCCGGAGGTGAGAAATAACAGATTTGTTTGGAGGAAATGTGTAATGTCAGTTAGGAAACACTTGCTGCAGTCTTCTTAGAAATTACAGATATTTAGCTGACGCATTCGCTATTCCTTCCTCTTTTAAAGATGAGAATAAGTTTTCATTGAGTTTTTTTTTTTTTTTTTTTACATCTTGTAATTCTCCCTTCCACCATGTTTGTACTGACAGAGTCCGAGCACCAGCATGTCTCAGAACATGAAAAAGACTATCGGCCATCGTGGGATTGATCCCACTGGGGAAACTACATACAAGAAGGTAGGAGATGACGTACATTCACTCACTTAGAGCTGCAACTTACATTTGTTTTTATCATCTATCAATCTGCCAGTAATTTTCGGGAGAGGCACATAAACTAAAAACCTGTGCGTCAGTACAGTACTAGTTTGTTATTCGTGTTGACATGCAGTGTAAGTCAAATTACATGTGAGAATTTAAGTGTGCATTATCAGCTGCTTACCTGCCCGTGTGGCATGAAAACGTAAATAAGTTATTCACCAAAGATTTAAAGATTTAAACAGCTTTTGTCATTTCAAACATGTGTCATGTTTTTCTTCCAGACAACATCATCAGCCCTGAAAGGTGCTATCCAGTTAGGCATCACACACACGGTAGGCAGCTTAAGCAATAAACCTGAGAGAGACGTCCTGCTGCAGGACTTTGAAGTGGTGGAAAGCATCTTCTTTCCCAGGTGAGTCTTTAAAATGATAAAGTAAGGATATGTTGTAAAGATGATTGAATGTGTGCTTCATTTACTGTGTCTGTTCTACATTAATAAGTCATATATGTGAGTTAATCCTCTGTCTTTTTACTGGCAGTGAGGGCAGCAACCTGACACCAGCACACCACTATGGCGACTTCAGGTTCAAGACGTACGCCCCAATCGCCTTTCGCTACTTCAGGGAAATGTTTGGCATCCGGCCTGATGACTACATGGTATTCTTGGTTACTCAGTATCTGTTATAATCAGAAAATGTACAAAAAGCTAACAGAACGGCAAAGCTCTGAAGTAAGGGGGAAAGCTGTGAACTTTGAGATGAAAGGTGTGGTTGGGGAACTGGAAAGAGTGAAACTATTGAAGTGTGAAATAATGGAAGTGTTGACACACTAGAGGTGGGGCTGCTGACGAGGCACGGACGACTATTGCTTGTCCTGTTTTTATCTGGTCAGTCTGTGTTGTTGGTTGATTTTCATCACATGTCTAACCACTGTGCTCTGGTTACAGTATTCTCTGTGTAACGATCAACTGATTGAACTGTCAAACTCTGGGGCCAGTGGATCTCTGTTCTACCTCTCTACTGATGATGAGTACATCATTAAGACAGTGCAGCACAAGGAGGCAGAATTTCTGCAGAAACTGCTTCCGGGATACTTTATGGTAAGATTTGCTCAGGGGCTTTAGGTACAAGATGGTAGATGCAGAATAAATGTGTACCCAAGATGCAAGACCCATCCTTCATGGGATTATTCAGACACACTGACTGTCAACAAACAAAACATTCTGGTATGTTAACTCGCCATCGAACAACAGCGAAACATAAACAAGATAAACCTTGAACAAATTACTTTTCTAAAAGATATCCACATACCAAACATACCAACATACCAACACACAAACCACCGACACAAAACAAGTCCAAATGAATGCTGAAGTTCATAAACAAGTAGTCTACAGTCCAAATACAGTCTAAGAAATGTGTTTCTCCTCCAATCCCATGGTTTTAAAAAGATATTCCGAAATTGCAAAAACATTATCAAAAAGGTATTTCATCAAAGCTCCATTCTCAATACTCAATACAAATCTTAATCATGACTTACAGGACAGTTTAAATTTAAATTAATTTCATCCTCCATTTAACTCACTATATTCGCAGATTCTTTTATCTTCATATCACAATTAATATATTGTGCATAATAATGAAGTCCCTCAAAACATTTATTTGCCCAACTATGGACGTGTTCGCTTTTCTGAAATCTTTTTTGTCCCCCCATTCCTGATAAAGTCTATGACAGGACACACACACACGTTTGATACAGTTTGCAATATGTTGTGTAGCCCATATCTCTTAGCATTTTGTGTTTTGCCTATAACACCACCCAAACAGTGTACTAGAACTGAAACACCAATACAGCACCAATAAGGTGGTATATTTATTACCGACTGCATCTTTTTTGTGGGACAATGTGCTTACTTTGACTTATTTGTTCATCATTCATTTATTTTTCAGATTTCCATTAGTCAACTACTAATTATACTAATTCAGCTTCCCTCCTTCCATCTTTTCCACTCTCCTTCAGAACCTGAACCAGAACAGGCGGACCTTATTACCAAAGTTTTATGGACTCTACTGTGTCCAGGCAGCGGGTAAGAACATCCGTATTGTAGTCATGAACAATCTGCTCCCGAGCGCTGTACGAATGCACCTCAAGTATGATCTAAAGGGCTCCACCTACAAGCGACGGGCCTCAGCAAAAGAGAGGGAAAAGGCTGTGCCCACATATAAGGACCTGGATTTCATACAGGACATGCAAGAGGGGCTGCTAATGGAGTCGGATAAGTACAGTGCTGTTTGCAAGACCATCCAGAGAGACTGTCTGGTAAGAACTACAGAACAATGTCTGACATGTGGCTACAAGCATGATAATTTAGCATTCACTTTAGATAAAATGGCCATAAACACACAGTCAACCACTAGCTTCACAGTACTTGTGTTCCTTGTTTTCTATTCAGCTTTTGCAAAGTTTCAAGATTATGGATTACAGCCTCCTGGTTGGAATCCACAATCAAGATCAGGCTTGTCGAGAGCAGGCTAGCGAAGAGGCAGTGGATGCAGCTGCGGACCAAAGGAGGCCACAGGGCCAAAAGTCCCTGTACAGCACTGCTATAGAGGCCATCCAGGCTGACGCAGGGAGCAAGGGATCAACGGACACAGAAGACAAGTGAGTGACAGTGTTACTGGGGCTATGTAAAGTTCATGTCTGAGACAACTTCCTTGTTACAGTTTCTGTTACCACAAAGAACAGTTTACTGAGAGGAATGACAGAGCACTAAATTATATTTCTTTTTGTTTTATTTTACAGAACGGGAGGCATCCCAGCACGAAACTCAAAAGGCGAGAGGCTGCTGGTGTATATTGGTATCATTGACATTCTGCAGTCCTATAGGTAAACAGTATACATTTTTTTTATAGCAGAGCAGCAGCAGCAGCTTAAGTTCACTTTAGTCACACGTGTTAAAAAAAAAAAAAGAATGCTTTGGGTCACATTTATGTGTGTGTACTGTAGCCACTACGCGGTCTGTGAGGACAGCTTCATTGATTAAAATAGGAGCACATCTGTTCCATCAACCACGCTTGAGACTAAAATACACAGCTGAAATACCTCCTGTGCTGACAAGCTGTTACAATATCTCAAGGAATGGACCATTCTTAGCAAATGCTTATACTGTACAGTTAGATTTGGCAGAAAAAGCTCCAGAGTTTGCAACAATCTTAATTAATAAACATAGAGCACATTAGAAGAAGGTTGTAGTGTTGCAGCAGCAAATGCTGTTAGCATGAGAGTGTGGCTGCACTGCCCCACGGCATGAATATGATTGGATGTTTCTTCAGATCACAATGATAAAGTTTTAAAGTGGATGTCAGTTTAATGTTTCTGCTTTTTGTTATATGGAGCCAAATATGTTTGATCGTTTAACTTCTATAAGTAATCCAGGCTCTATGTTTTTGTTTTTCAGATTTGTAAAGAGGCTTGAACACTCATGGAAGGCTCTAGTTCATGATGGGGTACGGTACCTCTACTAGCCTCCGTTAAATGTGTTTTAAATTAAACGATATATATATACATAACCCCCTGTAATCATTCTTTTTCTTTAGGATACTGTATCGGTACACAGACCTGGTTTCTATGCAGAACGATTTCAGAAATTCATGTGCACTGTAGTCTTCAGGAAGATCTCATGTAAGTACAATTTATCTATGTGTGCATGAATACATAGGGCTCTATTTTTGTAAACCTTGGGCCGCAGCACAGATCACAGTTGAGTGCACCCTGCTCACTGTTTAATGTCAATACTGTGGATGAAGAGTTTGAAATAACTCTCTTGTTTCTGGGAACACCTCAAAGAAATCTGACCTCAAACAATCTTTTATCACATGATGTTGGTTATTGAAGCCACAAATCCGCCTGTATTGTAATCAGAAATGTCAAGCTCCAGACGATACTTTTCATACTCAAAAAAGATGACGCACAGCCGTTGCCCTGTTTACCCAGTGTTTTGGAGACACAGTCAGGAACGGATGCCTTGAGGGAGTTATTACAGAAGTTTTAATTGATTTTTCCATGGGACTGTGTGCTTTTAATGTGTCAGCCCCATCACACCTGTTGATTTACAGTGCATTATAAACTGTGAAGAAGAATAAACTCTTAACAACAACTTTTATCTGCAGAGAAGCATGGAGGTTTCTGTGGTTGTTTAGCTTGTTGCACAAAATTTAACCGGTGGATATGCTGTACGTAATTGTCAATTGATAGTGTGCAACATCACTCAAATGAGAGATTGCAGATGAGACTGATATCTGCTGCCTTCATAGGCTGCAAAGTGAGTTACCTGTGTAAAGGAAGGGCTGTCAGGACAGGATTGCAGAGCGAGTAAGAATCACTCATTAATCCTTATATCCTGTGTGGCTGGCATTAAAACCACCATAGTCCATGAAATCACCTCAGTGTGCACCATGAAAATGCCAGTTCACCAGTGTGATAAAGACACCAAAATTGAGTCCATAATGTCAGTCTCACTTTATGGCCTCTTAATTAACACTTTTCCTTTTGTATCTAGTAAAGACCTCCCCATCTAAAAAGCGCCGGGCAGCGACACATGTTCCTTTGAAGAAGACTGCTGGTTCTGTACCATCTCTTTTTGCCCAAACCAACAGCAGCAACCAGCACACTTTTCTCCAACATCAAGTCAGCTCTGAGTCCAAAGACGGTGAAGGAGACAAAGGTAAGAACTGGAAATACAATTTAAAAATTCAGCTGGAGGGCTGAAGACAAATTTTGTTGACTGATAAACGTAGTGATTCAGTCTTCCAGCATGTACCAGCATGTGAAGTGCTTCTTTCACATGCTGGTACATGCTATTATTACATAGTAGTATTAACGGTTTTTCCTCCCTTCCCACCCAGTCATCCAGTCAGGTCGTCCTGACCTCCTCCCAAAAGCCTTACAGCCCAGAGACGCTTCTGGCAACTCTACTGAAACCGCCGTCTCCTCCTCCTTGAGAAATCCTGGACTTGCTCCCACAAGTCAGCCTCCGTCTGACTCTCAGGATACCAGGACGTCAGTGGGAGTGGATTTAAACAACACATTGAGCAACGATGAGGAGCACAGCACCCCCAAGAGGTAAGAGGGAAAAGTACACATGAAGATCAGTATTTTAATGAGTGATCCTCAGTAGTATATATACACATAATAAAATGTGTTTGGTACTGTAATGTCTTAGTTTAGTAATGAAAATAACTTTTGCCCTACTGAAGAAACCCATTATGGTGAATGAGGCATTTCATTTTCTACAGGATTTTGACTTCTGTTTGAGCCTTAAAAATAACTTCCTTTTACTCTGTATGCAAATCCCACTTGTATCTCGATCTATAACCTACATGCTCCTATTCTACTGGTTTATCTGTTGTGGGTGGTACACAGACTGCGAGTATAGGCTGCCTGAGAGTGTAAACAAAAAATGTCCCTTAACAGGAAAATCAGCATGTGTTAAGGCAGTGCAGCATCTTTTAGATTCTCCATCCAATGGCAGACAGCAGAAAGCATGTCATGCAAGGTTTAATATGTCACATTTAAACACATTTAAATGGTTAAAAATTACGAGACCTGTGTTGTATATGTTGTTGAGTTGTGTACTTACATTATCCCAAATGTTGCCAACAATGTTTAAACCCAGAGAAATCCATAATTTTATTCCAGGTAACAGTTTCAATGGGTTGCCTGTCATATCCCGGTTAGCCCCCCCTTCTTGCTATAACTTCTGGGGAAACACGGGATACGTTACTTTGTCCGGGAACATGATTTCTGCCCGAGTCACGTTAGACAGACTTTCATAAGCAACAGTGGTTGTTTAACGATGCAGACAACAACTCCCATGATTCCACACTACTTCACGATGTCATCAAACTATATCTTTTTGTTATAGTTTTGATGTGAGAGACCCCTAGTAATTGTGTATAACTGTGTGAAAATCATAGTTTTATTTAAAGGAAAAAAGCTTAAAAGCTTAAAATTGATAACATTTTGAGAAGTATTATTAGTTTTGCACATTACACACAAACACTGTGTTTCATATTGTATGAAGGTTCAGTTCACTTACACTGCTCCTTTTGTTGCTTGCAGAGTTCAGTTTGAGACTCTCGAAGAAAGTATTGGCGGCGAGGACGTGATCTCCCTCAGTGACATTGTTCCTAACGCAAGCAAATGCTCTGTAAGTTGATAGAATTTCTCTTTTTCTTGTTAACTTCTGCGGAGTGGTTTTCTTAACCAGTTTAATTTCCTTTGATTTACAGGTGTGAGAAAGATAATGGGAGTGAAATCAACTGAAACAAGCATGGAGGATGTTATTAACGTGGTTGAAATGTTACAACGCCCCCTTGGTGTGATTTGAGGTACCACAACTGCAAAAGTTATAACGTATCAGCGAGACCAAGTGGGATATTTAAATGCTTTTTGTTGTTGTTTTTGCACTTTGATTTCCAAATCTCAACATGGTATGAGCACGTAAGTAGGTGGTTGTGTTCCGACACTAGTAAAATACATTAATGCTGTGGTTATTGAACACTATTATTCACCTCGTAGGAATGCTTCTGGATTGTTCTTGGCACAGATGTTTTACGACTACTCGCTCGATTCGGTGAGGAATGTAACATGGTGACATTTTTTATCAAACTCATTGTCTTCTTTTTGGAATTAATTCCTCTTTTGTGTTTACCAAAATGCTGTAGCACATCCTCATGCATTTGTTGCTCTGTAAGTGTCTGTGCCACCACCTAAAGGCCCATATAGCCTTTCTGCTATATGTTTGACTTGGATGATTAAACACAAGACCATATTATGTGAATTGGGAACGCAGTTTTAAATAAAAGGGTTTATTTTTTAAAGAAATCATTGTTATAAGCTGACAATTTTTAAGCTTATTCTGAATGCAAATTATGCTGGAAAAAAAGTGATCCTCAGCTTGCAGTTTCTATTTAAAGGTTATATATAAGAGATTTAAAACATTAATATAGCAGCAAACAACTATCTGTTACACAAATATATAGATGGTGTCCTGAGCAGAGAATAACAACACTCTCTCTTCTCCTGTGTCGTTATCGCAGCCTCTCTGTGCTTCATTTTTATTTGCTTTCACTTTAACTTTAACCTGGCCATGCATGTTAGTTTCTAACTAAGGAGAGAGACTGAAACTGCTGTTTTTCTCATCTATGTTGGTGAATTAAGGATTTATTTTGACCTATTGGTGATTTGGAACAGTGGAAAGACTAACAACGATGATTTTGGTAAATTTTACTTTGTTTCAGTCTAGTTTGAAGTGTGTTTAACAAGGTAAAATTACTGGTTTTGTCAATAGAGTCTGGCGTGCACAGTGCCCGATGTTTTGGCTCAAGATGCTGGCAACATCTTCTAGCAAGTGAATTTCGTAGATATAACCTTTAACCAGCTGTTCGAATGGACCTTTTAAAGACTGTGAAGCCTAAATGTCATCTCTCACTTTCTGGTCAAAGGTTTATTTTAAAAAGAGTTTTTTTTTATACTTACCATATGATCTGATATCAGTTTCAGGTTTAGTGTTTAGACGGAACAAACGGTGACCTGGGGCCTGTCTCATGAAGCAAGACTAGTGAGATAGTCAGAGTTTGGAGTGAACCTCTTTCTTTTTCAGAGTTCTCTTGCCACGATGGCAACTAATGCACCAGACCAAACCTGCAATAATGTGGATCATTATGTACAAAAGAACCACCTGCTTACCAATCAATTGTTAGTAAGTAAATGTAATCACATTAAAGTGGTATGTACAAAAGAGCATAGCATGACATTATTATTATTATTATTATTATTATTATTATTATTATTATTATTATTATTATTATTATTATTTCCATGGACACATTGATATGGCACTATCATAAATAACAAGAGGTCACTGGCATTTATCTAAGCATCTGAAACCAGCCCTCATCCAGTTGCAAAACAACAGCAGCAGTTTAGACCTGAAGATAGAGCAATTTGCACCATCTACAGGCAAACAAAGCAACACCTTGAGCACCTTGAGCAGTTTTAACTCAGGTTACAGCCAATAAGTGTTAGATTTTTGTGTGTGTGTAAGTACCGGTATGTGTATGTCTATTGCTGTTATATATTTTACATTTTAAGCAAACAAAAAGTCAACATATTTTGTCACATAGAGTAGAAATACTTAACCGATTGAATTCGTCCAAAGAAACAAACTAGGGTGGGACGCAAAGGACAAAAGGCAAATTAGCAATGTAGGTCGGGAGGAGTTTTAAATTTGCTGTGAATATTTGAACAACAAACTCTGGTGGAACTGCGTCTTCTTTGTATTTTTATGTACACTTTTCCACTATATGCAGTGGCCTGCTGCTAATCAATTACTTTCCACTCTTGGCTACTCATACTATATGTCCACACTGATTTATTATGCAATGCTATTTGATAGTGATATTATTTTAAGATTTTTGTATACCTGTTCCTGCTTTTTATATTCAAGTGGTGAATTTAGTATTTCCTAAAAAAAATACTCATGTTATATTAATGATAATGTTGGTATATTTTGTTGACCATCTCTTATTAACTTCACCTTTGTGGATTTGTTCATGTTGCATGTGCCAGGATTAACAGAGCCAGTTTTGTGAGCTTTGTGAGACAGGTTATCCACAATTGTCAATGTTTAGTGTAGTGAGGCTGATAACTTAGATATTTTTGAGACAGGCCCCAACTCTCATATAGTTGCTCTAGCAAAACATGGTGATGGCTACCTGGTGGATAAAAGTATAACACAGTTTGTCTGCTTTTTATTAACTTAAACTGGTAGACTTAGTATTGGTGGATTAATTCAAGTTGGTTTTAGCACTCAAAACGGGTGTGCAGTGTTTTAACTTGATGTTATCACTTTAACTTGCCAGGTTTTACAGAATTGTTTGATATTTGAAAATGAATTTTAGTCTTGAAAGATGCTTCAATTATGCAACGAAAGTCTTTGTTCACTCCATATTCAATTTCCCAACCAAGATAAAATGAACAAGCATGATTTGGGCATTTTTATACATCCTGTAAATGGTTTATAGTGGTTATTTTATTCTGTTGGCTGATAATTGTCAGGCAATGCTTGTTCGAATATTTAAAATGAAACTGTGACTTACTGTAAAAACTCCGAAGCAGTTACACACGCAGCCTATGAACCAAACATGTAAATAGTCATATGTATTATAGTATTTATTACTGTATATGTCGCTATGGTTTCCGAAATGTTTATTAATGGTAAGGATGGATTTAAAATGTGCCTTTTTCTCGCACAACAAACTAAGGCACGCAACTCTAAAAGAGTGCTTCCTTTGTTCTTTGTGATGAGTTTGATTATTAAGATAACAATTGTTAAATCATCCTATTTTTTTTTCTTCCCTGTACACTTTTGTCAATTGCCTTTTGAATTATATAAAATAAATGTGTGCACATCTGTATACGAGAATCACAACAATGCCTTTTCACAGAATATGTATTCAGAAGTTTTCGCTCTTGCTCCATTGGGAATATCATGTTTTTTTGTACACTTGTACCTGAAGTTATTAAAGAAAAAAGACATGTTGCTTTTGTTTGATTATATTGCGTTAAACAGATCAACTTATTATGTCTAATAGTGTTATGCAATATGATTGTGATACACACTGTAAGACAACCTTCAGGCATTTTTACTGTTAATAATGAGGATAGCTATCCCTTTTATATTTCTTTGTGTATGACACCCTTGTAGTGTTGCAGATTAATAAACATGAATGGTTTGTGGAACTTATTGATTTTATTTTGATTTTTGCATTCATAAAATGAAGTACCTGGACCTGTCAGGTATTCAAATTACAGAATTTGCCAAAAAAGACACCTGCCTGGTTTATCCATGAACAACTTCTCATATCAAGACCTACTTTATGTTGATATTGCAATATAAAAATAAACTTACAATGTACAATCCTAGTCTGTATTTGCAAAATAAGTAAAATGATTTTCTGTTTTATTCTGAGATGTCTCCATGACAACTTATATCTGCTTAAGAAGATTGTAGAGACAATTATATATTATATTATTATAGAGAAAGTTGTTGATATCTTCAGAAAACACCTAGTAAGTGGTCATTTTTTTATACTGAGCTATTGCCATGACAACAGAGTAAAAGCAAGGCACGTTTATTTGTAATCATCTTTAACAACAAGGCAGTTCAAAGTATTCAACATAAGACATAAAAACATATAATTGGGATTTCAAAAGAGTAAAATAAACTAGAATAAAATGAAAGAAATGAAGAAAATGTGTGGGATTGTTGCATCAGCTGCTGCTGCTCGCCAGCCCAGCTTCTGAAAGAGTCCCAGCAAGATGTCTGAAGATATCATCTAAAATTGGTGGTGATTGAATAATGCGTTCAAGACATATAGTAATGTTTCATTAATGGCCATATGATAGAATAATTGGAGCATTGCTTTGTCTGGACCCACAGAATCCAGGAAAATATATATGTGTATGCTTACATTGTCAAATAAAACCTTCTGACTCAGTGTCATGCTGACATAAAATCCCAAAACCGAGACCCATAAAGATATAACAAAATCTCCAGGGTTGTGTGAATAGTGAATGCATTAGTATTTGATGACCTGTGAATGAGAACAGGTTGGTGTTTTCATCCCTAACACAAGCACTTCTGACCTTCCTCCATTATTGTAAATGCCCTATATTATCAGCAGTAGCCTATTGTAATATCTGAGGGTGACTCATTTTGATCACTATTTCCACTAAAAAAGAATCAAGGAGCTTAATTTATATATTGGGCCATTGGTATACGGTTATTGCAATGCAATGACTTAATTAACTCACTGAAGAAAGCAATGGTTGACCACGATGCAATGAATGAGGTAAAAAAAACGTTTTCACAGTAGCCACTTCGACATGAAATAGTAGGGTAAACACAGGTGTTACAAATGACACTAAGTCTCCATTTACCCTATTATTTTATGTCAAAATGGCTTCTGTGAAAAAAGTCTATTAGTTGAAAGCAATAAATATGTAGCAATTGGCAGATTATGATGAATATGACACCACTTAAAAACAATAAATATGAGCAACAGACATGGGATTAGCAGAAAGTAATGAATATGAGGCATGCTGACCGCCGGAATAAACCACAAACCGTTGCTGGATATGCAGAAAACTGAGGTGATCTGAAAGCTCAAATGCACTGAACTGCTGAAAAAGCTGGAAGCTGAAATATAAAACTGGCAGACTTAAAAGCTGAACTGCATTGCCTGAAGAAGTGAAGAGCTGAAGTACCGAAAAGCTGGAAGCTAAACTGGAATACTGTCAAAGCTGGAAGATGAAATGCATTCCCTGAAAAGCCTGAAAGAAGAAATGGTTTGCTTTAATATCAGACAGATACATATTATTGCCTGAAAGGACGGAGGCTGAATGGCACTGCACCAGAAAATCTGATAGAAAAAACACAAGTTTAATAGTTGTGACCAGAAAGTTTAAATTAAGCCTGTAGCTGAAAGTATGCAAGAGTAAAGTGAAAGTGGAGCAGGTCTGAAGAGAATTTAAAGATATTATCCACTCTCTTTCATTGTAATTTATTTTTTAAAAAGCTTCATATTTTATATAAAAAAATGTAGAAATGTCCTTAAAGAACTAAACATTATGACATTTGAATGGTTTAAAGCTGAACTTATGCAGGAGTGAAAGTCTGTAGAAGATGCAGTTGAAAGATCAGGAAAAAAGCTGGTAAGTAGACTTTGAGTTTAGAGTTTAGTGTCAAACTATTTCACTCTGTCCTGTTTCTAATCGCCTGTAAAATACAGGTGACACAATCCGACCAATCACATCGCGCCTTGTTCAGCCGCTGTCCAATAGCCGGTGAGCTTGTAAGATTACGACACACAGCAACAAGAAGTTTCCAAAATGGGGCTCGAAAGTACAATGGTCTGGTAAGAACTCCACAAAAGCCTTTTTTTTGTGTATTTGTTGATGTTGTTTACGGCTCATACGAAAGATAGGGTAAATAATGATTGGATTAAGAAGTGTATTGATCTTGAACTCCCCGTTAGCGGAGCTGATCAATGACCGTCAGCCGGCTAACGCAGTGTCGAGTCATTGTAGCTAAAGTTAGCTTTTAATTTGCTTAAATATGTTTACATGTGGCACATACGACCACATCTACAAGTGTTACTCTTTAACGATTTAATGATTTGTAATCGATATGATCAACTGACAACCCCGATGAGTGGTTTGTTTGTTTGTTTTTTTTATTTTATTAACCAGCGACTTATGTGGTGTCACGGCTTGCTAACGTTAGCAAGCCGTGCTAATGCTTGTTTTTACATTGTGCCGCCACCTGGTAAACAGATAAGATATTAACACATGTCCACAGATGGTGAGGAGGAAACTGACACGGCTTTACTAACCCTAACTAGCAGCTCTGCCTAACTAGTCGTGGTTTATCTACGGAGGACATGTCAGCAGCTAACGGTAGCTAGTTCAGTGTTAATTGTATAAGAGCCACGTTAAACTGGTGTTTTCCCATCAGCGTGGACAACAGTGAGTACATGAGGAATGGAGACTTTCTACCGACGAGGCTACAGGCTCAACAAGATGCTGTCAACATTGTTTGCCACTCTAAAACACGAAGCAATCCAGAAAACAACGTGGGCCTCATCACTATGGCAAAGTAAGCTTGTTTATTACTCTCTTAGATGTTGTTACAATCCTCATAACGACTTGGTTGCACAAGTTGTCAGATTGTTTGTACGTGGTTGCTGAGGATGAACCCCTTGGTTTTTTTTTTATACAGTAACTGTGAGGTCCTGACCACCCTGACACCAGATTCTGGACGCATCCTGTCCAAACTCCACGCTGTCCAGCCCAAAGGAAAGATCTGCTTCTGCACAGGCATCAGAGTGGCTCATGTGGGTAACTTGGAGGGTTTCTGGTTTTAATCATTTGTTTTAAAGTTGGGGGGGGGGGCTTTTCCTAGCTAGTAATTAATTAATTGGTAAATAAGAGGTTTTTCTTTCAGCAGAAGCAGTTTTTTGTGTGGCAGTGTTTTTGTATAATGTATTTTTTTAATGTTTTTTCTTACATAGCTGGCCCTAAAACACAGACAAGGAAAAAACCACAAGATGAGGATCATTGCCTTTGTTGGGAGTCCTGTGGAGGATAATGAAAAAGATGTGAGTCTTGAAAGAAATGTTGTTTTCCTACCAATGCGTCTTCTTTCTCAATATTTGTCTGAACTTTTTCTTCCTCTCTTCCTGCTTTTGTCCCAACCTGCTGATTCTGCAGCTTGTCAAGTTGGCAAAGCGCTTGAAAAAAGAGAAAGTGAATGTGGATATTATCAACTTTGGAGAAGAGGTGAGGAATTCTTGGTTTATCTTCCATCCCACTGCTATAAGGCAGAGTAAACTATAGTATAATATTGTATTTTCTTTATTTACATATCTGACACTTCCCATTCATAAATTGAATTTTCCATTGACCTTGCCATCTGTCTTCAACTGATTATTCAGGAGGTGAACACAGAGAAGCTGACTGCTTTTATAAATACTTTAAATGGGAAAGAGGGGACAGGCTCCCACCTGGTCACAGTTCCTCCAGGGCCCAGTCTGGCTGATGCGCTGCTCTCCTCTCCCATTCTGGCCGGTGAAGGAGGCTCTATGATGGGTCTTGGTGCCAGTGACTTTGAGTTTGGTGTGGATCCCAGTGCTGATCCAGAGCTAGCCCTGGTAAGCAAAAAAGAGATATGTTTTGAGTGGCAGCCAACTTGTATAGTAGTACTTAGCATACAGTGTTCCTGTTTGTTGTAATTGCAACAAAAAAGAGAAAACATAGCACTTATTATTTATTATGTGATGATATGCAGTAGTTTTTTATATATAGTATAAATGGAGGGGGGAACTCAAATACCTATGAGATACTCATACTCATTCAAGTTGTGCCTATGCTTACAACAGTGTGTCAGATGACATTTACATAGCAAATACATAATGTATCTGAGGTTGAAAGCAAGTGTGATGCTGAAAAATTGGGTATTTAAAAATAGCAACAATAAAGCAATGTGTGGTTTTACTGCACTGAAATCTCACTGCTACAAAGAGAAGGCTTGATAAAGACATCGGTATCCTTGAAACAGGCCAATAATAAAAAAGAATCTTGATTTGGACTAGTTCATTTTACATCAAAGCATTTTTATTATTTGGTAGACACTCTTAACATGGATGAGGCTCCAGGGGATGTTGGCATTGTGTTTTGGACTAACTATTTTCCATTTGTCCTTTGCATTTTTGAATCTTGTCCTTGTCTCAAGCAGCTTCATACCACACTCCCCATACTCCCATATTTTGGTGCTCATTGGCCTTGTCAGAATGAGAAAATGTAAAAGCGTAGAGCGGTGCCCTTTGCCTTTATTTCTCACTGTGCTGTCTCTGTGCATTTCTTTAGGCCTTGCGTGTATCAATGGAGGAGCAGCGACAGAGGCAGGAGGAGGAGGCCCGCAGAGCTGCTGCTGCTTCTGCGGCTGAGGCAGGCATGCAAACACCGAGCGCAGACGGTAACTGGAGGACTGACAAAAAGTTGCATTCATGATGATACTTATTTGTCCATTACTTAGTTTTAAATGGATTTTTCACACAGAATCAGATGAGGCCTTATTGAAGATGTCCGTGTCTCAGCCTGAGAGTGGGGCAGCAGTGCTTCCTGACTTCAGCAGCATGACTGAGGAGGAGCAGATAGCCTACGCCATGCAGATGTCTCTTGCTGGAGGAGGTGAGTTCCATTTGAATATCATACAAATCTGAGCTCTTGCTATAACTTATGGTCACTCTTATGTTTGCTGACATGTCTGTTAAGTTGTTTTCACTCGTTCTGTGAACAGAGTACGGAGAGATGGACACAGGAGCCCCCATGGACACAGCAGAATCAGCCAAGGTGAGTCATCATATGAGTAATTGATTGATATCTCATAGGAAAAAAAAAAACATGATTTCTCCCAACCAAATTGTAATAATTAACATTGACCTTCAGTATTGTTAAATTATCCAGGAGAGTACCTCGTTTCTTTATTGTGGAAACAAACAAACAAAATGACTGAACCTTCACATGAGACAAAGCCAAACTGAGGACCGAATAGATATTAAAACGACTTAAATGAAGACCTAATCCATCTTAATTGATTGTGTCCTTTATGTTATTGAACAGGAGGAAGATGACTACGACGTGATGCAAGACCCAGAGTTTCTTCAGAGCGTCTTGGAGAACCTTCCAGGTGTCGACCCGAACAACGAGGCCATCCGCAACGCCATGGGCTCCCTGGCCTCCCAGACGGGAAACAAGCCAGATGGCAAAAAGGATGAAGAGAAGAAGAAATAAGGAACAGAGACTTAAGTCATCGACTTAAAAAAAAAAAAAAAAAAGAACAATTGCAGACTAATGCAGGAATTCTTTAATATACAAAAAGATTGCTGATGCATCATCTGACTGACATCCCAGCATGAGACAGCACTCTTGACATTTGATACCATTGCTTTCCTTTCAGATACTCAAAAGCACCAACCATAATGACTACATAGTGTAAAATCTGACCGCCCGGTAACATAAATTGATATAATCTCCAAAATGTAAAAACGCCTTGTGTTCTTTACCCTTACATTTTCTCCACATGGTATATTTACTGATAATTGACCCATCGGAAAGAGAGGAGAATTTATGATGACAGGCTCTTGAACTAAACAACTAGTAATCCACACTCCTGTCCTGTCTTTTTTTGTTTTTTTGCAATAAAAGCTATGTGTAAATATGTCGCCTCTTGGTGTTTTTGTTGCCCTCAGAGCCTCACACTGACAGAGCAGTGAGTAGATAACAAAATAAAAGACGCACTCATAACACAACTGTCCCGACTTCTAATGGCTTAGCCAAAAAAAAAAACGTTTAATATCCCTCACATCCGAAAAATAAATATACGTGTCGTTTGCAGCATCCTCCATGCATTCTTCCAGCGCTACCACATCCTGATAGGATGCATCGGGTCATGTGACGGGAAGCGCAGCATTTTCAGCTGAAAAAACGAGCTAGGATAGTCGGGAATCGCATATCCAGGTAAACAATCAAAAAAATACATGAAATATTAAAAGAAAATCCCCATCCCAGTCATCCTCTTCTGTGCCATCGTCGACCCTACGATCACCGGGTTGCTATCGCTGTCACACCATACCTCAGCAAAGCGGTCCAGTTGCCTTTTTTTTTTTTTTTTTTTTAATGGCGAACGCTAGCTCGTTAGCTAAATGACCCCTCTCTGTCTTGGCTGGAGCTCAGCGGCCAGCTAGCCAACCTCAGGTCGGGAAGGAGTAGCTCAAAATAACCGAGGTCGCTGCCCCGGTTGAGCTGTTTCTCAAGTGGTCACTGCTGCAGAAGCTTGGCGTGTGTTAAAAGCACTACGGAAGCAGTGTTTTCCCATTCATAGCAGATTAATGCCGGAGTTACCCAGAGGAGGGTTTTGGTTGCAGGGACGCCGAGCTAGCGAGCGAGCTAGCTGGCTAATGTGAATGCTAGTGCAGGATCCTTGTTGCTCTGCTAGCTTCCCTGATAACAAGCTAACCTGCTGCAGCTTGTGAGTGTCAGAGAAAGGTGCATGGGAGATATTTTGTGCGCGGAATTTACCTCGAAAATATACTTTTTTTCCCTTTTTTTTAAATCGATATTTAATAATTTGGCATGTTGAGTTTTTATTTTATTTTTTTTGTTTGCAGGTTGTGTGTTAGCAAGGCAGAGCTATGGTTGATGAACAACAACACAGGCAGACTCATGCTAGTGTGTTTTGTTGCCTTCTGCAATCATGTCAATGAATTTGTGTTTTCACAGGAGTTAATCCCGGTATGGGGGACATGAAGACCCCAGATTTTGATGACCTGTTGGCAGCATTTGACATTCCTGACATAGATGCCAAAGAGGCCATCCAGTCTGCCCCAGATGAGGCAGAGGGACCCCATGGAGCTGCGGGCGCTCCTCTGGGGAAGTCGGACAGCGTGGTGGGAGTTGGGTCATCCTTGAGACCACCGAGTCCCTCAGACCCCCAGGCCGACACCTCAATTGTTAGTGTGATTGTGAAGAATAAAGTACGGCTTGAGACCGCAGATGGAGGGGACGGAGACACGGACCAGGACCCTATCGATGTGATCGCAGGGGTAGATGTGGGTCCTAGACTAGGTGCGTGTGCCCCTGGAATGGCTGAATCCGAGGCTCTCAACCACAACGGTTTTGGGGCGTCTGGTGTCTCCACTCCTCTTCCCCTCAGTCAGACCCAGTCTAACGGAGCGCCGTGGTCAATGAACACCCCTAAAGTGTCTTCAGAAGCAGCGGGTGCTGGTGCCGCCAAGTCTCACAAGCAGGGCGGGAACATTTTCAACAGACTTAAACCGCTTGTGGCGCAGGGATCTGGGGATCCAGTGGGCCGGGCCAGAAAGATGCAGCTTCTACAGCAGCAGCACCAGCAGCAGCAGGATACAGGCCAAGAGAGGGCAGATGGGGTCAAAGCATCATTACCTTCATCTTCTTCTCTATCAGCTGGGTCGTCTCCTCTGGCTGCAGGTGGGCCTGTCGGACTAGCCTCGCCTTTCTTTCCACCCTCCAAGCCTCTGCTTCCCACTCCGCCTTCTGCCCTCTCATCACACCCTCTGCACTCAACTCAGCCTTTTAACGGTGCTCCCAAAGGTGGCCCTGCTGGATTTCAGCACCAGCAGATGGAGGAGGATGATTCTGACCCTGATTTGGGGAGTCCACTGGTGATCCAAGAGAGCCCAGACTCCCCGACTTGCACTCAGCTGAGCCGACGTTACAAGTCTGACTCTGTCTCAACCCAGCCCGCATCCTCTACTGCATCTCAACCTAAACCGGGGGATACTCCTTCAGGGGCGTCACTGACTTCATCAACACCTCAGTCTGGCTCAACAGAGAGCCCCCAGCGAGATGACAGGCATCCAGAACACGTCATAGAGGAGAGAGACTCACCAGAGAGTCCTGAACCAGAGATGCCAAAGTCAACTGCTCAAGTCGCAGCTAAAAGGTGCTCCAGCCCTGCGGTGGCCTCCACTCCACCTCCTTCTGAACTTCGGGAGCCTAAAGAGGAGGAGGAAGAGATGGAAGTGGGGAATGGGATTGAGAGGGTCGCTGATGGCAAAGCTGACAAGGGAGAAAATGCAAGAACAAGTGAGGAGAAGATGGAGGTAGATGATGGCAAGTCTAAACCCCTGTCCACTGACGGAGGAGAAGCCGCCGTTGCCGCACCTGCTGCTTCTGGAGCTCCAGCCCGACCCCTCAAAGTCAGAATAAAAACAATTAAAACCTCCACAGGTGGAATCACAAGAACTGTCACAAGGGTGGCGCCTAAAGGTGGCGCTGCAGGGAAAGGTTTGGACCCTAAAGGTCAAACAGGGGAACGTAAGGTGCTCGGAAATAAGGCTCAAAAACTTGAAGCTTCCCCTGGTCACATGACAACAACTTCCCAGAAAGTAAGTGCTCTCAATGCTCTGCCTGTGTCTACACTCGCAGCCAGCAGCGTCATGCTAGCTGCAGCCACGAAGGTCCAAAACAAAATGGCAGCATCTGACAAGGCCAAGGTTTCCGCCACTGCTGTAAGCATCACTAAATCTGCTGCCCTGCCTGTAACTCCTGCTGTGGCTTCATCTCCCAAGTTCTCAGTTGCCGCTGGCGGGATCAGCGTTCGCACAGCCACTAATAAGACCGCTAACGGAGGTAGCGGCACCATCATAGGCGGTACCCTCCAGCCAAACAAACCTGCCTCCATCGTCAACAGTACAGGTGCCGTCATCTCCCGCAGTCAGTCAAGCCTGGTGGAGGCTTTTAACAAAATCCTGAACAGTAAGAACCTATTGCCGAGCTACAAGCCCGACCTCTCAGCACCTCCGCCGCCTGAGTGGGGTCTCCCGCTCCCAGCCACAGGGTACCGCTGCCTGGAGTGCGGAGACGCTTTTGCCCTGGAGCGCAGCCTGGCTCGACACTACGACAGGCGATCACTGCGCATCGAGGTCACCTGCAACCACTGTGCTAAGAGGTTGGCCTTCTTCAATAAGTGCAGCCTGCTGCTGCATGCCAGGGAGCATAAGGAGCGTGGGCTGGTCATGCAGTGCTCACACCTGGTCATGAGGCCTGTCACTGTGGAGCAGATGATTGGACAGCAGGACATAACGCCCATAGGTGGTGAGTAGGGCTAACGATTCTTCGAATTATCGGTTAATCGGTTGTTAATGTTTACGACTAATGGATTCATCATTCAGACAATAAAATAGTGAAAAACATCCTCCACAACTTCTCAGACCCAAGTTGATGGTGCGTGCGTGGTCCGACCAACAGTCCAAAACCCCAAAGACGTGTTCAGATCATCATAAAAGACTAAAAACAGGCAAATATACAAAATTGAGGAGCTGGAACCAGACCGTTTTTGGCATTTATCAAAATTGTTGCTATTAAATGACTAACTGTTTCAGCTCTACATCATACATTTGTATTTCTGTGTAGACAACCACAAAAATATGTTAGTATGTCATGAAAAAAAACAACAACACACACATCATTCATTTGTGATTCATCTCCATTGACCACGTCCCATTTATCTCTTCTGATTTCCACCTGTGGCTGACCAGGCCTGCTCTCCTCTTCGTCCTCCTCTCCTCCAGTCTCCTCTCCTTCTACCACGACAGGAGGCTCCGCTGTCTCTGCCAACTCCAGCCCAATGAAGGATGCTTCAGCCCCAGCAGCAGCTCAGCCTCGACCGGTCCGACGCGCTCCTCAGGGCCCCCAAGCGTTGATGCCTTTGCCTTGCAAGAAAGCCGAGGGGCTGCAGTACAACAACTTCAAATGTCCAGAGTGCCAAACACAATTCTCCAGCAAGGCTGAGCTGGTCACCCACTTTCAGCAGATCAGAGCTGCTCCCAACTCAGTGAGTCTTTGTTTCTTGCTGCTGATACCTGCTGTTAAAAAAGAGAAAAATGCTGGTGGTCACTGATTGTTTTGTTTGATTTTCCTTCTGTTTCAGACATGTACGCAATGCTCGCCTCCCATGATGCTGCCTAACTCGTGTGCCGTGTCCGCCCACCAGAGGATTCATAAACACAGAGCGCCCCACGTCTGTCCCGAGTGTGGTGGGCTTGCCCGGCAGGCAAGCTTCCAGACCCACCTGGAGGAGGCCTGCCTGCACTTTGCCAGGCGCATTGGATACAGGTAGGGATGGGAATAAAGAACCGAGAACCCAAAATGCCCGATCCATCAAAGAGCCTCAGAGCTTACTAGGTCTTCTTATTAGTGCCGACAGTTGTGCAAAATAATGATGTCAAACTCATGTGTCCAAGTTGCTGGAAACTTCCAACAGGGAGGGGTCAAGGTCAAGGTCTAAAGCGTGGCTTTAGTTCACAAAGAAAGATGACAACAGGGCCTGTAATGTGCAACTAATGGTGGAAACACCAGCAATATGCTGAAACAACTTTTTAACATCAACATAAATAAAACATCACAGATTTTGCAGCTTGTCAATAACTTTTATACACTTCCTATCTACTGATGTGGTGTGAGATGTAGTTTGTGGTGGATATATACACGTCCAAAAACGGATGCAAATGTTCCTGTCACTGAATATCGACTCAAATTCAGTTCTATAAAAAGTTTTTATATTAGAGCCACAACACATAATACTGTGTGTATCTTGTTATCTTGTTAAGGTGTTCAAGCTGCCAGGTTGTATTCGGAGGGTTGAACTCCATCAAATCCCACATTCAGACTGCTCACTGC